CCCTTTGATCTGTCCAGATAAAGCAAATAGCGCAGGGTAATCATTGGTAGTAACAAATATTATTGCTCTACATATGAAGTTCTCTTTTCAGAATGCATCATACATCGGCTCCTCATGCCTCCATAGCCTCTCCATTTCTTGCATCAAAGGCTCGAGGAACACGTCTATATCAATGCCTAGTTGTTTAGGGCCAGAAATAAGAATAGTGAGGAGAAGGTAATTTCTCTTCTGACATAACCATGTTGGGATGTTGTATATGGTTAAGATCACTGGCCAAGTGTTGTGGTCGCTCATTCTCTCATTGAAGAGATTCATTCCATCGGTGCTCAAGCCAAACCATATATTCCTTGGGTCATCACTGAATTCTTTGTGCTTCTCATCGATCCTTTGCCACTGACTATAATTAGCTGAGTGCGTAATCTTATCATCATCCACCTTGCGCTCATCATCCCACCATGTCATGCGTGTGGCTTCTTTAGGTTTTAAGAAGATACGTCTCAAGCGGTCAATCACTGGCAGGTAGCACATTACCAAGGCAGGAATTCTTCTCTGCTTTGCATCGTTGCCTAATGGAGTGTCCTCTAGGGGCTGAGATTCTTGTACCACCTTTTTCATACCCTTCTTATTCCTCTTTTTCCCCGTGGAGGCTTCATCCCTACCGTAAAGGTATTGTTCTTGTACCGGCTGGCCCCACACCGGGGACATTTATCCAGTGACTTGAACATTTCGCCACGAAAAAGAATACAGTGGTTGGGGCATGCATGGATTTTTTTCAACCTCCATTGTCAATGGACTTATGACCTTCTTCGCTTGCTTTGTGTTGGTGGGAACTGAGTTTGGTTGTGACAGCACCCATGATAGGAGACGTAATAGATCATTGAAACTATAGTCTGACCAGCCGTACTTAGCCTTCAGGATGAGTAGCTCAAGCACAAAATGTAGCAATGTCCAATGTGTCGGACAACCCTTTTCAACACCATACACAGTCTCCTTCGATGCTTTTGTCACCCTTTCCAAATTTTCTAGACCTTTCGGTCTCTTTAGTAAAATATCTGGTCCAAGGGCTCGAATCATGTCCTACAAATCATCTTAATTCCCGACACGTGCTCCGTCATCATTATTGGCACCACCTTCGTCGTTACCATCCCAACCACCAGCATCACCACCTTGTTCATTGCCAAACTCAGGATCCATTCATGCATCAAGCTCTGCTGAATACTGGGACAGGAATTCTAGGGTTACGTTGCCGTATTCCTCCTAATCCTCGTCGTTAACAATAACCGTTTCACCATGATGAATCCACACTGTGTAGTCCTCAACAAATCCTCGCATAATCAAATGTGATCTGATGATAGTCACATCTGTCCATGCCATACGATTCTTACAATCTTTATAGGGACAAATAATTATATCCTTATTCTCTGTCAACGTCGTTGCATGTTTTTCTGTGGCTTCAATAAATTTATCCATCTCTTCACGGAAACCTGCCTTGAACCTTAACGAACCATACATCCAAGAGTTCCTGTACTTCATCTTTTATAACAACAAAAAAACATTAAAAGACTACTTATTCAGATATATATAAAAATAAATCAAATTAATAATTACTTGAGAATAATTGTATATACTTCAGATATATATGAATATAAATCAAATATAATTACATGAAGCATACAAACATACCATGGTAGTGGAAAATTAATTAATGACCTATTTATCCATAAATAATTAAAATACATATTTGTTGATTACAATAAACAATTTCAAAGACAATAATTAGCAACAATTAATATTTTACCCAATATCTTTCATGCAAACCCTAGTCCAATTTCATCAAACATAAATTACAAAAATAACATTAATAAAAAAACAAAACCCTAGATCTAGATCTACATGCACATGAAACATCTATAAAACTAACAAATTGTTCACTAAAATAAAAAAAAACATGGACCAAATAAGGGTATGATCTAATTCTCCTACCTAATTTATCCTAGTAAATTCAAAACTTGGGTCTAATTTGCTTCATAAGTAGCTCAAGCACCATAGAAGAGAGAGAAAAACAAAACTCTAATTACTCACTAACCAACCATTAAAACTTTAAAAAAAAGTGTGGAATAATATTTTCTTACCTTCTACAATCTCTCCACCAAAGAATTTGAGACAAAAACCTTCCCCCTTAGTAGAACAATTTTTAGGAGGTGCCCAAAGCCCCCAAGCCTTTTTTCTTGGGTAAGAGTGAGTGACCCGAGGAGGAAGAAGGGGGCTGCAGCCTTTTGTACGTGCAGCATTTGTAGGGGTGACTGGTGATTGAGCCGCCCCTACAAATCGCAACATCGGGGACGGCTGGTGAGTGAGCCGCTCTTACAAATCGACCCATTTATAGGGACGGCTCGTATCACCAGCAGCCCCTACTGTGCCATTTGTAGGGGCGGCTGGTCTCATGGGTTCCGAGCACGCCCACTGTAGGGGCGGCTTCGTCACTAGCCGCCCCTATAAAAAATTGTTCCATTGCTACAAACATTTTTTGTAGTAGTGTAAGCCGGTTTATCAGCCATGATATAGTATTTTTTTCTCCCAACAAATCAGCCGTATAAATCAGCACAAGCGGTTTATACACTAGCCGAACAGAGCCTTAGTTTCTCTAGCTATATGCCAAAGCTGAACCCTACTAGCTAGGCTGTCTTACCTCTTCACGACCAAAATTTTGGCTCTGATCTTTCTTCCCTTTTGCACCAACGATTCTTGTCTCTACGGTAAGACCCAGCAATGTCTCCGTCCAAGTCCAGACGGGTTAGGGCATAAGGGCTCATGGCTCTAGCTAGTTTCTATTAATCTATACATATTTATTTATTTATTTATTTATTTATCAGACGTAGAGACAAGGTAATAATAAGACCCGAGAGAAACATTGTGCGGTGGACGGTGGTGACAGTTTTGTTGGATGGAACATGACATGTTAGTGTGGCTCTATGACCATGAGAAGCACTGAAGCAGGACCACATCCGCTGGCTCAAGCCGCCAAAGATGACACAAGAGGAGGGCTAGCTCCCTAGCTGCTCAGGGCCAATGGGCCGGGCGTCGATCAAGCAAATTATAACATACAAGGTCTATAAGAAATGACAAGGGGAGGAAGAAAGGAGCCATCAAAATTACTATTGCATGGATTGGCGACTAAAGACGGTGTTCATATATATATTACCCTCAATTCTATGAGTCGTTAGATTCGCATCTTGCAGCTACATTAGTATCACTTGTCTAGTGATTTTGCAAAATGGCTCACGGAGTACTATAAAATCAAACCACAGTCTACACATTCTGGTTATTTTGCCACAAGAAAAGATTGTTGTGCTCCTGTTCTGGTTATTTTCGCTATCTATCTTTGGCTAGCGAGAAACCCGGAATAGAAGATGATTATTTTTTGATAACCACTTAAAGAAGTTGTTGGAGGTTATTTTCCATCAAAATCTATATTTCTAACAATTAGGAAGGATATAGAGAGCCTCTTAGAGTTCTCATAGAAATCTAAATGCTCATCACTTTCTAGATACAGTAGACATGGTCTGGATAGTGACGCACAACGTTAATGTGTACCTTGAATTAATTTTTCTATAGCATCAATGGTAGAACTAGGTGGAGCATATTTATGAGTATTTTGTGATATTTTTATAGGTATAGGTAATTTAAATGCATATTTAGATGTTACTTTACATTATTTTAATAATAATTATGGTAAGATATTTATATGTAACTTTAGGGTTACTTTAGATTATTGTTCATAGGATATGGGTTACTTTTAAGTTATTTTCATATAATGGTAAAATGAGAGTAACTTAGATAAATATATTAGGGTTACTTTAGGCTTATTTCTTAATTGGTTGTGTATTTTTTTTAGAAAACAAAAATAGATCCAATGCCTGTTATTATCAATGAGGATTAGAATATATTGAATTGATAGACAAATGTTTTATGATTTTTATGAGAAATTCTACGATTTGTTTTTTGTCTTTTCTAGTGGAGGCAAAAAAAAAAGGTTTGTACCATACTATTTATTTATTTATTTGTACAAATGGCAACGATTCATCGTGCCATCAGTGATCCTATTACATCTAATGAAGGCAAAGCCCATACACCAAAGTGCGGTACATAGAAGTAAAGGTGCTACGCACGCACAAGCCACTAGTGAAACATAACTAGGGACGTTGGGTGGACACCAAAAATGTGCGAGTGAGACCGTACCCGGAGCCTTATTGGCTTATATTGCCATGTTTGTCCATATAAGATCTTCTGAAAGTTGCTCGTAGATATAGATACTCCTATCGTGTTAGCACTGGGATTCTGGGAGTTGTCTGTCTGTTATCTCCAGAGCGTATCGAAATGGAGATATGAGATTTCCTTCCACTGCCCGATTAGATTGTGCACTGAACGTCTGAACCAAATTAATTACTCTGCTGGGGCTTTCACCCAGATTACTCGTGGAGCATCGATCGATCTCTCTCCGCCCTCGAATGGGACTGATCACGCCTAGACATGCACTCCATCTCCATGTCATCATTCATGGTCGAGTTGTTTATGCTTGTTCCTTGTCTCCTCCTGCACCTTGAGATTTCTCCAGGGGGCCAGGATGGCGAGAGATCCAGCTCAACTTGCAGGCGGGCTCGTTCGTGGCCGGCCGCTAACCCGCCTCGCTTGCCGCAAAGTTTATTAGCGGGCTTGCGGCTTGCCACAAAGCTGCGGATCTTGCGGCCAAGTGTTCCGCGGACACAATAAACTTGTATGCAAAATCCGTAAGACCCGCAAGACGTACAGTACAATATCTATGTATTGAAGATCGAAACAGAGTTGGCTGGAACAGAGAAACATACAGTACATACAAGTACAGTATTGATGGAAACAAAGTGAACTGACTGAAACTTAGCAAAAAAAAAATAGAGAAACTTGAAAAAACAGTAAACATATAATACAACTTCGGCTAACCTCATTTGAATAGGTAGTACAGTTCATAATAATCTCTGAAAGCGTACATGTAAGGAGGCCAAACAAAGCTCCACACTACCTCCAAGCCAGATGTAGTTACTGCATAAGAAAAGTGCAGACTGCACACTACCTCCAAGCCACATACATCACTTGAACCAAAATCCAATAATAGCAGTGTTCCATAGGTGTAGCTTCTACATCCACATCACTAGCCAAAGTCCTGCTAAACTTATGATGACAAGAACAAGATCTGGAAAAGGAGCCATGCCCCCACTGCAATAATCCAAGGCCAAGTATTTAAGAATTCCAAAAGACACTAACATAAATAAAGTTGAAATGCTAAATTGAAAGGAGTTCTATATCTACTTGATAATTTAAGAATGCCACCCTTCTTTGCTCAACCTGACATCTCCTTTCCTCAAATATCGTCACCATCGCCAATATCATCTTCTGATAATTTAACATCTGATAAACCTGAAACAAGAGCGAGTAATGAGTTATAAGGTGAGCTAGTGCAGTTTAGTCCGGAAACCACATTTTCTGCCGAAAGATTTGCACCGCAATGCGAGGAGGGAAGATCTGCACCTTGTTTGAGTAAATGGTCCAGTTGGTGAAGAGCTCGGACAGCATGGCACCAAGGAGTCCGAACAGAGCTCCAGAAGCGCCGACAGAGATGGTGTTCCTGATGAACAGAGATGAGAGCACGCTGCCTCCAACGCCAGAAACAAGGTAGACGATGCCAATTCTCACTGTAAGGAAACGGGAATGCAGATCCAGATCAGACATAGTTCTACTCAAGCCGGGCGGTGTTAAGTTCCTACAGCTGTGCATACCGTATCCAAACTGTTGCTCAAGTCTGAGTCCGATGAGCACGAGGCTGATCATGTTTGCTAGAAGGTGGGCAACACCGGCGTGCAGCCAGATGCAGGTGAGGAGCCTCCATCCTTGGTGCTCCTGCACAACTTTGTCCCATACAAGTGCCCCCAGCTTCTGCAGCCTGCGGGAAACAAGGTGCTCTGATCAACGTGAGAAACCGTTCATCGTCCATCCATCGATCCAAACAATTTCGAGTTGCGTTTACTTTGGGCAAAGTAAATTTGTACTTGAGTGGCAAACCAATCAGAGATAGTAGAGCAGAGTTGGTGATGGAATCTTTTCTCTATATGAATCCATTACGATCTGTATGTAGCATTGCTTCATCTATATCTGAGATAGTCGCCATTCCTCCCGCCCTTCTCCACGTTGTAGCGCGCAGCGGCCATGGCGGTGGTGGACTGGTGCTCGTGGCGCGCGGCGGCCGTTGCGGTGCGGTGGGTTCGCGTCCGATGCAGCGGTGTTGTGTGCTGAAGCGGCTGTGACGAGGTGGTGGTAGGGTTCAGGAGATGCAGTTGTTGCAGATCGTGCGGGTTCTTACGAGCTTTGTCTATTGCCCAACGGGCTTGGCGGGTTCAAAGACATTGGGCCACAAAAAATTTGTAGCTGGGCCACTACAGCCACAAAGAGAAACTTTGCGGGGCAAGTGTGCGGGTCTCGTTAAGAGCCCGCCCCGCCTGCAACGTGAGATCCAGCAGTGAGATCCAGCACTAACGCGCCCAAGATTGTCCCTGTTCCAGGGGATTTCATGGAGGGGTGGCCCCGAAAAGATGCAAATTTTAGGGGATTTTATTTTACCACGAGGCTAGGAGTAGAAATTACATCTAACAATTTCTCTGGAAACTGTCCGGGAACAGACACTGCCAATTTCGAGTTCAGATTCAGACCACGGCAGCCTCCAGCCTCCATCGCTGCACGGGGAACCCTAGCATATACACAACTTTTTAAACAAGCTAAAATGGCTAGCAATAAGGATAACAAAGGCCCAAACCCTAAAATCATATCTTACAAACAGGTACAGAGAGTTCAGCCTAGGAATCCGACTCCAACCAGAATAAACCTTGGTAAAAAAAAATGGCATGGAATTGAGGTGGAGGTCCTCATTTCTCTTCACAGGCAGCATTTTTTTTATGCCAGCCTTTTTAAACAAGCTCAACTCACCAATTTGATGTTGGCATCTCCAGGAGGTCAATCTTTCACCTACAGTTGACACCTCCATATTATCCATCTCACATCCATGACTTAAAACTTGCACCACTATGCAATGGAAAGGCCGAAAATGATATTAACAAAGAATATTCGAGGGCGCATCTTGTACTGATTGAAGGCATCATGTACTAACTAATTGTTTGAGTTTCTCTTGTCCTCATATACGTCATGAATTGCCCTGGTATCTCAGCAAGAAGTGACTGAAGTGTAGATACCCCAGTGCCTGCAAATAAGGATGCACCAATTATAAGACCGCTTGTTCCAGTAAAGATGCAGAATGTGGGATTATATGAAAATAACACATGTGGCTATATATGCAAACAGTTCTTATTGTTTTATACTGACTAAAAAGAATAATCTATTGCCTCTGAACCAAATTTAAGTAATTTATTATGTTTGTCCTAAGTGAAATATCTTTAGCTTCGGCCATCAAAACCTAAAAATCATATAGATCAACAACACGAGTTGATGTGACTAGATTCATCATAAAAAAAACTATTTGAAACAATATATTATTAGTCAAAGCACCATATTGGAGACTATCAAATATCGATTCAATACTCCACTTACATTTGGAATCAGAGAGAGTACTATATATTACACTCGAATCATCTATTTTTCATCTTTTCAGGGAGGAAACTGAAAAAGAAAAGAGATTGAATTCTGTGCCATATGCATACCGTGCATATCCTTCATCGGGGCAAACTGTATCATATCCCTTGATGCAACCCTCCCGGTTGAGCTTTCCAGTTTCTCTCCTTTATTTGGATCTAGAAACTACACAACACAAAATTTAATATCAAACTATGTTGACACCATTTATCTTATGCTTAAACATCAGAAACCAAATCTTGTTACTATCACTCGATATATAAAGTACATGGGTGCTAATTCTATGAAACTGAGGAAGTAACAGCTAGAGAGAACTAGAACTGGAAAAAAAATGAAACATTGAATCATTAACTTCTGTTCCTGGAGCTCCAATAGTTGCTGGGAAGGAAATTTTTTATATCCCATGTTCCTACAGTGCTGCATCTATGCAGCCAATAAGTATTTCTAAACATTTCAATTTTATATCCCAAAGAAAATACTAATAACAAATTAATTATAAAACTGTAACAACTTATCTGGTTCTTACATTACCTCCATTTCCTTGAAATCAGCCCCTCCAACTCCAACAACAATGATGGATATAGGAAAATCTGATGCCTTTATGATGGCATCAATAGTCTCTTGAAAATCAGTCACCACGCCATCCTGGAAAATAGTTTGATGTCTAAGAAGAAAAACATGACCGCTATTTTTTGATGATGTGTTCAGTTATACATACAGTGACTATTAACAAAATGAAGTATTTCTGTTGATTGTCAGCAAGAGATTGGCTAGCTATCGCCATGGCGGTGCTTATCAACTGACCAAAGAGGGTAGGACCAGCCAATGATACATTACGAAGAGCACTGATATAAGCTGACATAATTCCTTGTATTCCATCAACCTGAGGAAGTGTGATAAGATCAGTTTATATGAGTAAATAGTGTAGAAAAGTATAGAAATCACACCACGCACCCAATGTGTGTGTGTGTGTGGGGGGGGGGGCTGGATATATATAGCCACAGTCACAATACAATACAAGGCAACTAGGCTATGGTTAATCACTATCCTAAAATACATGATCCTGATGGATCCTTTCCTAATGCTAGCCTTCCTAATGAGCCATTTCCTAATACCCGCTCGCAGTCGAAGCGGTAGGAGGATCACGGACACAGAGGCTGGACAGAAAGTCTGTGAATAGCTGCACAGGAAGACCCTTGGTCATGATATCCGTGAATTGGTGAGCCGAAGGAACGTGGAGGACGCGAATCTGCCCCAGGGCCACCTTCTCGCGAACGAAGTGGATGTCGATCTCGATATGCTTGGTGCGACGGTGGTGGATAGGATTAGCAGTCATGTAGATGGCGAAAACGTTGTCGCAGTAGACCACTATAGCCAAGGGAACCGAGATGTGAAGTTCCTGAAGGAGTTGCCGCACCCAGCAGCATTCGGCGACGACATGTGCAACAGCCCGGTATTCGGCCTCCGCGCTGGAGTGGGAGACCATGGTCTGGCGTTTGGATGACCAAGACACCAGATTGTCGCCGAGGAAGACGCAGAAGCCGGAGGTGGAGCGGCGGGTGGCCGGGCAGCTTGCCCAGTCAGCATCGAAGTAGGCGGTGATTTGGTCGACGGGGCCGATGCCCAGGTGGAGGCCGGCGGAGAGCGTGCCCTTCACATAGCGTAGGATACGCTTGATCAGTGCCATATGCGGCTCACGCGGGTCATGCATGAACAAGCAGACCTGCTGAACAGCAAAGGCCAAGTCAGGCCGTGTCAATGTGAGGTACTGAAGGGCGTCGGCGAGGCTCCGGTACTCGGAGGGGTCAGCTATCGGGGCACCGTCGGTGGCGGATAGCTTGGTCCGTGCATTGGCCGGCGTGGCAGTGGGGTGGCACTTGGACATGCCAGCCCGCTGGAGGAGGTCGACGGCGTACTGGCGCTGGGACAAGAATAGACCGGAGTGATCCCGTGTCCTAGCGATCCCGAGGAAGTGATGGAGGTCGCCGAGATCCGTCATGGCGAACTCCGAGTGGAGGCGAGCCATGACGTGCTAGAGCAGCTCAGGAGATGACGTCGTGAGGATGATGTCGTCGACGTAGAGGAGCAGGTAGGCGATGCGGGCACCCTCTTTGTACACAAAGAGGGAGGCGTCAGACTTGGAGGCAGCAAAGCCGATGGTGCGGATGTGGCTGGAGAATCGCTGGCTCCAAGCCCCGGGCGCCTGCTTGAGTCCATACAGGGACTTCTGCAGCAAGCAGACGTAGTCAGGGGTGGCCGGGTCGACGAAGCCAGACGGCTGCTGGCAATAGACCGCCTCCTCGAGATGCCCATGGACGAAGGCGTTCTTCACGTCCAGCAAATGAATAGGCCAAGAGCATGAGGCGGCGATGCTGAGGACGGTACGGTTTGTCGCCGGTTTGACAAGCGGGCTGAAGGTCTCGTCGTAGTCGACACCAGCCTTGCTGGGAGAAGCCGCGACGACCCAACGCGCCTTGTGCCGAGCAAGAGTACCGTCGGAGTGGAACTTGTATTTGAACAGCCACTTGCCGGTGACGAGGTACGAGGCGGCAGGTGCCGTTGGCGAGGAGAGCATCGTATTCCACCGACATTGCAGCCCGCCAGTTGGGGTCGGCAAGGGCGCTACGATAGTTGGCCGGAATCGGGGAGGCCGTCGTGGCGGAGAAGCCGTAGCGGTCGACCGGACGCCAGTTGCCAGTCTGTAGCCATGTCACCGGGCGCGAAGGTGGTGGAGGCACAGCAGGCGGTGCTGAGGACGCCGCAGGGGGCGCCGGGGGTGCCGTCGGGGGCACTGGGGGTGCGGCAGGGGGCGCTGGGGGCGCCGGGGGTCGTGGACGCCACTGATAGGTGGCCCCAAAGCGACCAGTCCCGCCCGGACGCGGAGCAGGGTGTGCTGAAGCCGGGGACCCGCCCGGAAGCTGCACCGGGCCGGCGTGAATGATGATCGTGGGTCTGGTAATCCAGCAAAGATAGCCTTCTGCTGGGGGAAGAGGTGCTGACATTTAGCTCCAACAATGAGTGGGAGGCGGAGTGTCCGCCGTGGAGAAAGAAAGTCCCTGCATCAAGAAGTCAAGTGATGACGGCACGGAGGCCGCCGACGGAGCTGCAGCAAAGAGGAACACAATCTCGTCGAACACAACATGACGTGACACTATGACACGCCGAGTGACCATGTCCAAGCAACGGTATCCTTTGTGGGAAGAAGGGTAGCCGAGGAACACGCACGGGGTCGATCGAGGGGATAGTTTGTGGGATGTCGTGGCATTGAGATTTGGGTAGCAGAGGCAACCGAACACACGAAGGGAGGAGTAATCTGGGAGCTACTGATGAAGGAGTTGGTAGGGGATGGCATGCTGTACAAAAGATGGCATGCTGTACAAAAGCAGATGGGCGCCGGTTGAGCAGATATGTGGCAGCGGCCAAGGCTTCAGCCCAGTATGGTGGTGGCATGGAGGCGTGGAGCAGCAAAGTGCGGATGGTGTTGTTGATAGTGCGAAGTATGCGTTCGGCTTTGCCATTTTGTTGGGAGGTGTAGGGGCAGGAGAGGCGCAAGCTGATGCCGTGGCTGGAGAGGAAGTCAATAGTGGCCCGGTTGAGGAACTCGGTGCCATTATCAGCTTGAAATGCTTTGGGGGTGACGCTGAATTGCGTACGAGCAAAAGCAATGAACTCAACAAGATGGCGATGAACCTCAGATTTGTGGCGTAATGGAAAAGTCCAACAAAAATGAGAAAAATCATCAAGCATTACAAGATAATATTTGAACTCCGAAGTGCTCAAAACAGGGGATGTCCATACATCACAGTGAAGTAACTCAAAGATAGAGGTAGTGACAGATGTAGAGCTTCTGAATGGGAGCCGGGTGTGTTTACCAAGTTGACAGGCATGACATAAAGACCGCAGCTACTTATTACATAAGATGACAGACATGTTCTGTAGGGTGGCGAGGGCGGAAGGACCCGGGTGACCAAGACGATGATGCAGGCCGAGGTGGCGAGGCTGCAGGTGGGCGGTGGCGTGGGGGTGATGGTGTAGAGATCCCCGCCACTATTGCAGCGAAGAATCACGCGTCCCGTCTGCAGGTCCTTGATAGAAAAACCCAGAGCGTCATTCAATGGAACATGAATTGTCGCGAGTGAATTGACGGACAGAAAGAAGATTGCGCACTAGAGCAGGAGCAACAAGGACATTGTTAAGGTGGAAGGTAGTGTTGGCTGCCGACAAGGTAGAAGTGCCACGACAGGAAATAGGAATGTTACTGCCATTACCAACAGTAATGAAGGAATCGGAGCGAGGGAGGCGGGAGAGGAGTATACCATCCGAGGGCGACATGTGTGTAGACGCGCCCGTGTCGAGGACCCAGGGGTTTGAACCCTGGAGGGACAGCTGGTTCAAGGCAGCAACAAGACCGGCCTGATTCTAGGCACCAGTGCCCGGCTGAGGAGGAGGGACACCGTCAGAGTACTGTGCTGAGGCGAAGGCAGTGTGGGCCTGCGGAGGGGTGCCCAAGACGCCAGGGCCGCTGTGGGGGCGCCACTGCTGCTGGTAGCCGCCCCAGGGAGAAGCAGAACCAGGGGCCGGCTGGCTGGGGAGGGCCGCGGCTGCCTCCCTGGGACGAACCACCACCACCGCCACGACCCTTCCGCCGATTGCGATAGCCGCCGCCGCCGCTGCCGCCCGACCGGCCGCCGGGGCCAGAAGCACCTTGACTGCCCATGGACGCATGGCAGGCAGTGCCGCAGGAAGGAGTTCCTGCGAGGAGGGTGGTCTGGGGGGTGACCTGGCCCTCGTTGGCAAGGCGAAGCTCCTTGAGGATGAGCTTTTCGCGGGCGGTGGCGAAGTTGGGCAGCGGATTGGAATCCGCGATGTTGTCGGCGGTGCTGGAAAAACGGGGGTTGAGGCCGCGCAGCAGGTTGAGGACGAGCTGCGATTCGATGACGGTGTGGCCGACATCGCGCAGGGCATCGGCCATGGTCTTCATCTTCTGGCAGTAGGCGTCGATGGAGAGGTCACCCTGAGTCATCGAATGGAATTCGTGACTCAGGAAGACGGCGCGAGAGGCCTTGTTCGCCTGGTAGATGCCGGAGATTGCGGACACAGGAGTCAGCAGCAGCCCAGGCTGCGTCGGTAGGGCGTGCCTCCTGCATGCCATCGACGTGCAGGAGAAGGCCGAATTTGCCGCAGAGGGAGAGGAAGAAGGACGACCAGCGAGTGAAGTTAGGGCGCTTCAACTCGAGGGTGATCGGCACATGGGATTTGACTGAGATGGTGGCGTAGGGCGGAATGGAGAAGACAGCCGGTGCCGAGGCTGAGGATGAGGAGTCAGTGAGGGCAGCTGAGGAATCGCTGGAAAGGGGAGGGGTAGTCATGGTGGCGGCTTGGCAAGAAGGACCAGTGCCGAGGGTGGGAGAGGGAGAGAAGGGCGCGACCAGGGTGGTGGCGCAGCAGCGGGAGGAGGGGGTGGGCGAGTGGACCTAGGCCCGGACTCGTGATACCATGTAGAAAAGTATAGGAATCACACCACACACCCAATGTGGGGGGGTGCTGGATATATATAGCCACAATCACAATGCAATACAAGGCAACTAGGCTATGGTTAATCACTATCCTAAAATACATGATCCTGATGGATCCTTTCCTAATGCTAGCCTTCCTAATGAATCATTTCCTAATAAATAGCTCCAACGAGAATAAGAATCCTCCAGAACATGAAATGTGCTTTACTTTGTGTTCGAGAAATGTCTTTTACTTTTACGAAATAAATATAGCAGTCAATCTACTGTCGAAGTCAGCTTTCGAGAAGCAACATTTCAAATTATTCTGGAGAAAACAAGCATTTGAATATAGCAAAAAAAATTATAATACCTCAGGTTGATAAGTGCTGCCATTCAAGTTGAAACAATGAGAACAAGGACCATCAATAGGTCTTGCTCCAAAGCCCCAAGCGGGGAAACGCTTCGCTGGGTCATAGTATTGTAGAACATCACCAACTTCCAGTATTACCTTCCACAAAACAGCAACAGAAGAATTCAAAATCAGTATATGTTCAGAACCTCAGAAGGCCATCACTCATCAGAACATAAGAATAAATGGGTAATCAATCAGCGGCTCACCTTCTGATATACATTTGGCCGACCTGAGGGGTCAATATAATGCAAAGAATCTGGAAGGCGTGGATTTCCATTTGAAGCTAGAACGGATAAACATCGACAATAACATATTAAGCATGAGTTCATGAATCATGACTAGAAACAGTAATGAGGAAAGGACAATTTGCACTACCATGTCTGTTGCATACCTGTGAAATCTACGCCTACCATAAAATTCAACTGGCACCCAACAGAAATATAATCTAGGAAAGTATGCCTGTTGCTCTCAACATATTTCTCTACATATAGCTGGCTCTTCAATACCTGCATATCAGAATGAAAAACGATATACACAATGCAACAGTTGAAGACATTCCAAAGTAAAATTTTTTACCTCCTTACTGTGACATTCATGTGCATTGCTGGCAGGAACAAAGAAATTTTCACCATTCTTCTTATGGTACATATTTTCCAATTCTGCGACTGACTTGACTATCTTGCTGTCGAATTACAAAGGGTATCTAATCAGAAAACAAATTGGAATTCAAGTATTAATGGCCCAGGCTCTAAGGCACCATGGAACATACTTATGAACAGACTAAAGTGGAAAAGAAGCAAATAGAAAACAGAATATCAAGTGCAGGCAGTGAAATGAGTTAAACAGAGGACAATTACCCGACTAGGTCATGTTTGCCATTGCTACTGAAGTTAAAGCACTCTATAATTAGAGGGTTCTCCTGCAACACAATATAACCGTAACGACTAGATCAAAAAAATATTTCATCAGTAGCCAACAAAAGTCATCCAATTTGGATATCACATGACACGCAACAGTTGGCGCTTACACAATCAACGGCAGTCAGGGTTAAATATAGTCAGATAATAGATGGTTTTTATAGCAAACATCAAGAAAAGTACAAATGTAAAAAGGAAGAAGATAGTCTCATGCCTTACTTCCGATCTGTTGCAGATTCAGAATCACTGGTCTCCACCTAGGATTGAGATCATTCTTTCTTACTTCTGTCTTGCAAATTGGAACAGGCATTCCACTATCTGATATTCCAGATATTAGCAAGAAAGTATCCTGTCACAAAGCATCTTTAGAAATCAGAATGGTATGCAACACAAGCGAACAAGGTAGGCTGTCAGAATGGTGAAATATGACACGAGAAAAAGAAGATAGGTATAGCCAAACAGCAATCGCAAATATGTACCAAGGAAAAAGGAACGGAAGACCTACGTACTAAAAACATAAGACCGTAAGCTTACACTCTTTGTTAGAAGATCCTTGATTTCAAGATCCGAACAGTGGAATATCATCTCCATTATTGCTTTTGAACCTGAACTTTCCTCAGCCTGAACAGTTAGCTCACCAAATTTATTAGGATTTGGCAAGTTATGTTCAGAGACACCAAGCTTCAGAGTCAGCAGTCTGTCCCGTTTGGTGATAACCTGCAAAAAGAGTCTTTGTCTTCAACGAAGTAAAAATAGTATTAATCTAAAATTAGGATGGTCTTGAAACATTTTAACATTAAGAAATTCTGGAATCGCAACAATCTTTCAAGTGATGCAACATGTGCAAGTACTGCCTTGCAGTTGTGAAATATGATGCTCACATCTAAGTGCGTATGCATGTTACCTTAGGCCACTTGAGCACAAGCTACCAATCGTGTTAAAGTTGTAAATGCAAGTAAATTTCATTAAGGGTCATGAGACTTGTGAATTGTCATATAGGTTCAATTGGGTACATGCACTCCAAACTTGCACATCTAGGCCATTAAACAAATTGAGCCAACTAACGTCATTAGGCAGAGGGCTCTCATTGGTGCCACAACACATTGGCACAAAGTCACAAACATGGTGCTTTGCAGAGAGGATCTTTGAATTTTGCACTGAATCCCAAAAATTATATATACTGTCTAGCTTTGTTCCCACAAAGTCTGAAGCTAACCACACAACCTTCATGGTATAATGGCCTCTAGATGGTCGTGAATCAGAAGTTGAGAAACACATCTATCAACCATGTAGTGGCGTAGTGCAACAGAGAAGATGCTGCCAAGAGCAACATATTTCATGTCCAGTGTCTTGTGTTATCGTCCAATAGCAGCACAACTCTATTGTCTGTATCTTGTAAAAGGACTACAGGAGAAACAGCATGATGCAGCACCCAAAAGGACCAAGAACAAACAGCCTTGGTTAAAGCTACTACCTAATTCATCATATCCACTGTTATCACATCTCCACGTGAGTCGCTTTCTCTGTTTCAAAGGCATCACCTAGGTGTCCATGCGGACCGAGGTCGCCTTGGGGGTCTAGTTACACCTTGTCACCTAGGTAATAAGGCATACCCAGCTTGCCTTGGTTCACCTTGTCACCTTTGAAACCATAGCCGCTTCCAGCAAAGCCAAGGCCTTTGGTGCCTTATCTCAGCCTTACTTACAGTCCTTGGTGTTTGTGGGCTGTCTTCCCCCAGGGACAGTTACTTTTAATGACAACTTAAATTTTGAAGTCGATGGACTGGGGCAATTGTACCATGGCTTATTGAGGATGAATTTTCCAATTTGCCCATTGGAAACATTGCCATTTGAGTGAATGACATGTGGGACCATCTGAGTCGACAACACGCGCCAGTCACTGGCAAAATGGCAGAGCCAATTGTTTGAACTGACAAGATTGCAAATGGCTCCTTATTGTAGGAGCCAGTATGGGGACTTATGGAGCAGCCAAAGGGAAACCTGAGGGCATTGCCGATCAGTGGGGTCAACTGGCAGGAGAGTGGGAGTCAACAGTGATGGATTTTGGGCTGGCGGTGCAAGCAGGGGCGGAGTAAGGCCGGTGCTGCCAGGGGTGCAGCACCGGCTTTGCCTGTAAAATTCACCAGGGAAATATAAATGTAAAAACCATTCCTAGGGGAAAAATAAGCCTAAAAATTAAAATCCGATCCATTTTTAATCAATCTTACTTAGCACATCTTGTCTAGTCCAGCAACCCCTGTCCAGCTTTTCTGGCTCCACCACTGGGTGCAAGGGATTGAAATAGTGGAGTAAGGAGATAGGGCTTGAGACAGCAAAATAGGAGATTAAGTACCTCATCTAGCAATATATTAACTGTGGGCCTATTTTGCAATAAAAACAACAAACATGGATTGGGAATTCTGTGCCAGCGTGCCATTTAGCATGTTCGCAGGTACAAATCATCAGTCAATGCCTAGCTGGGCTGCTAATGACATTAGCGACTCAAACACCTTCAGTGGCTTAAATGTGCAATTTACGATTTCAGTGACCTAATTGAACCTGCACGAGCAGTTCAGTGAAATGCAATCAAATTCCTATGATACATTCAAGTTAGCCACCAAATCTGAATCTATGAAGCACAGATACTTCGCAAAACTCACACACCGGTATTAGATACCGTATCCAATACAGATACTCCGCAGATACAGCCAGATACGTATCCAAGATGTATCAGAAATTAATTCGATTCCAAAAAAAAGACCCAATATGCCTGGGACACCCCACCGATACTTTGGGGGATACCTTAAAACCCTATTACCACTTGTTCACTTCGTATAGAAGTCCTCCGTTGGCCCCCTCTCATCGCCATCAGCACGGACGTAGACACAGCTGCCAATGCCTCGTACGTGGCAGACATGTTCCCTTGATGTCGCTCGCCATAGATCTGCGGAGCTGGCGCGCTGCACATGCCGCTACCACTTTCACCTCCGCCCAGACACCTCCCATTCCCCGCCTATGCCTCTTCCCTCTATGGAGCTGTGCACCGCCGTCACCTCGACCCGACAGCTCCCATTCCCCGCCTGAACTTCTTCCCTCTGTGGAGCTGTGCCCACCGCTGATGCCTCTCCGCCTCCGCCCGGCCACCTCCCGTTACCTGCAGTGCCTCTTCCCTCTTCCCTCTGGACCACATCGCCCATTCCGCCTCCATGCGCGCTACCAGCAATTGCTATTCCTTCCCCTTTTGTGTGGTGAGTCTGCCATCTCTCAGTTTGGTCCTTCCCTTGTCCTTCTCACTTTCCCAGTCTCCTCATGTGCTGATTCATACGCTCCTCTGATTCTCCTTGGTTAAAAGTCCTCTAATTCTCCTTTGTTAAAAGTTACTATTTTGGGGGCGAAGTTTTGTAAAGTGGTGACTGTTCATATTCTTTTTTTTAAAATATATATAGTACAGCAAGGAAAGCCCCAACTATAAGATTTTATTAATAAAAAGAAAAGAAGTTGTACAAGGGACTATTCATGTTCTTGAACAACTGCAAGCTGAAATTGCTGCTGGCAGGTCAGTTCCTAGAGCTATTTCACTTCCGAAAGAGAGCAATGAGAAGTTGAGGAATAGGAGGATGTTTCAGCTATTGAATCTAGCTTCAATTTAGAAGTCCATAGCTTACTTGATGAACTGATAGCTATTTTTAATTTTTTTTATATCAGCATATCCCTGTATCCATGTTTTGGGAGAAATGAAGGGCGTATTTGGTTGCCCTGCTGCCCCAGCCTGCATGACCGGAGCCGTATAAAGATGCCTGAGCAGTCTGTTTGGTTGCTTGTATGTGCTATCTAGCCTGCACGAGTGGATGCAATTTCATGGGAGGATGCAGGATGCAGGATGAAGATTGCAGACCCACATGTCAGTCTCACAGGACAGACAGGCTGCATCCGCTCCTGCAGTCAACCAAACATCATCTCAGCTTTCTTGCATCCGCTCATGCAACTTCACCAAACACATTCTTTTTCTGAAATACAGATCCACCAAGCCTGCGTCCGCTCATGCACGATATACGATGCAATCCCAATCCGGGCAACCAAACACACCCGAAGCATCAGAGTATCACCGTATGGCGTACCAGTATCCGTATCCACGTACTCCTCATAGATTTGAATTGTGCAAGCAAACAAATAAAAATGGATGGAAGTTTGACTTCACAGGTTCAGCTTCAGACCTTACCTGCTATTTATTGATCACTAAAAATCACCACATGACTCCACACTAGCCAAGTTGCACAGCAGGCAAACATGACAAATATTAGAATGCACATGCATTATGCACTGTCGTAGTGCCTTCTAGTCTCTTTACATTGTTCTTTCCCTTTCCTTTTTTGTTAAACTATTTAAAGTTCTGTTCATATTACGACAGAAAAGTTGTTCACACTAGAAAATAAAGTATTTTCAAGTCTTCACCAAAGTCAATATAACCAGGAAAAAAAACATAATAATTCCATTAGCCAATACCTCTGACAAAAGACAGGTAGCCTCTCCAAGAAACTCTTGCTCCTCCAGCTTAAGCATCTGCATTGTAGAGCAGATTAGCGTATGAATTGCAAAAAAAAAAAAAGGTGTACCCAATGCAGAGAGCTCCCGCTCTGTGCGGGGTATGGGGAAGGGTGTTAGTGGCAAGCCTTACCCTCGCCTGTGCAATGCGAGGAGACGGCGACTCGAACCCGGGACCTTTCGGTCACAGACGGTAAGACTCAAAAATCAATACGTATGTATGCTTAATGGATCAAATCATGCTTCAAATAGGCAGGAACTCCCAGTTCTCAAGCGTCAAGACCAAGAATATGCATTTGATTCTTTTCTGTTTGGGAATTCTACGTACAGTCACTTTTAATATATCTGGAGGTGTTCCGGAAATCTGTGCAATGAAAAAAATACTGTCACACGTCTGATCCGGACCCCCACGTAGGGTCAAACAGGCCAGGAGAGGCCCGAGACCCAGCCCTGGCCGGCACCAGGGACTCCTCCCGCGCGGCATGGTGGCACACGGCCAGGGGGGTGGGCCACCACCGCCCCATCAAATCCCCCGATATCCGAGAGGATCCGAAATAAATGAAAGTTAAGAATAAAATAAGGGAAAATAATTAGAGATTTGTTTATAGGAAATCAAATTGAGATTTATTAGGAAATAAAATAGTTTTGCTTGTAAAAGGAGAGTCCAAATCTATAAGGACTCTACTTATATTTTCTTGGAGGGTAAGTCAGATTGCTTAGGGGTCAAGTCTCCCAGGACTATAAATATAGGGGCGATGTAACCGTTCAATCTTAAGCAAGGAAAAGAACCTCCCTCCCTCCCTCCCTCCCTCCTCTGTGGCGCCGCCCCCACTCCTCTCACGCTGCCGCCTGCCCCACGCCGCCGCTCCCCTGCCCTAGCTGTAGAATAGAACAGAGAGATAGGGAAAACACCACACACCCCAATGGGGGGGGGGGTGACCTTCATATATATATATAGCCAAGGTGGCAGGATGTACATGCGTGTACATGCTTTACATAGCAGGTGCTAATCACACTGATTGTGTGTTTGCCTATTATATACTTGCCTAATATACACTTGCCTAATATATCTATCAGCCTCCCGCAGTCGAAGCGTTAGGATTCCGGATGCATAGACTGGACCGAAAATCGTCAAACAGCTGAACCGGCAAACCCTTTGTCATGATGTCAGCGAACTGAAAACGTGACGGCACATGGAGAACTCGAACCTCGCCGAGAGCCACCTTCTCATGGACGAAGTGGATGTCAATCTCGATGTGCTTGGTACGGTGGTGGTGGACCGGGTTGGCTGTCATGTAGACAGCGCTGACGTTGTCACAGTAGACAACTGTGGCGACCTTCAAGGGAACATGAAGTTCCTGAAGGAGTTGGCGAAGCCAACAGCACTCTGCAACCACGTGAGCAACAGCCCGGTACTCAGCCTCCGCACTGGACCGGGATACCGTGGTCTGCCGTTTGGACGACCAGGACACCAGACTGTCGCCGAGGAAGACGCAGAAGCCTGATGTAGAGCAGCGGGAGTCTGGGCACCCTGCCCAGTTAGCATCGGAGTATGCAATCAGCTTGTCGACAGGCCCAGTGCCGATGTGGAGGCCAGCCGACAGGGTGCCCTTCACATACCGAAGGATGCGCTTGATCAGCGCGAGGTGAGCTTCGCACGGGTCATGCATGAAGAGGCACACTTGCTGTACAGCATAGGCCAGGTCGGGGCGAGTGAGCGTCAGGTACTGGAGAGAGCCGGCGAGACTCCGGTACACAGCGGGATCAGCGACAGGGGCGCCCGCCGAGGCAGAGAGCTTGGCACGAGAGTTAACAGGTGTCGACGTCGAGTGACACTCGGCCATGCCCGCCTTCTGAAGAAGGTCCACGACGTACTGCCGCTGGCTGAGGAAAAGGCCGTCGGAGGAGCGAGTGACGGATATACCCAGGAAGTGATGTAGTTCCCCTAGGTCCGTCATGGCGAACTCAGAGTGAAGGCGGTCGATGATGTGTCGAAGCAGAGCGGCCGAGGAAGCCGTGAGGGCGATGTCGTCGACGTACAGCAGCAAGTAGGCGGAGGAGTCGCCCTCGGTGTAGATGAAGAGGGAGGCGTCGGTGGCAGAGGCGACGAAGCCGAGCTGTCGGAGAAACGTGGCAAAGCGTTGGTGCCACGCCCGAGGGGCCTGCTTGAGGCCGTAGAGGGAGCGTTGGAGGAGGCAGACGGCGTCGGGTCGTGCCGGGTCAACGAAGCCGGGGGGCTGCTGACAATAGACCGTCTCATGCAGGTGGCCATGAAGAAAGGCATTCTTCACGTCCAGCTGATGGATAGGCCACTGGCGAGAGGCCGCGATGCTGAGGACGACCCGAATGGTGGCAGGCTTGACGACGGGGCTGAACGTCTCGTCGTAGTCGACGCCGTAGCGCTGGGTGAAGCCGCGGACGACCCAGCGAGCCTTGTGACGAGCCAGGGTGCCATCGGAGTGGAATTTGTGCCTGAAAATCCACTTGCCGGTGACCACGTTGGCGCCGGGAGGACGGGGAACGAGGCGCCAGGTGTCGTTGTCGATAAGGGCCTTGTATTCCTCAGCCATGGCCGCACGCCACTGGGAATCGGCAAGACCCCCCCTGTAGTCACGCGGAATGGGCGAGGCAGTGGAGTCGGTGGCGACGTGAGCAGCCGGGGGGAACCCGTACCGATCGACAGGCCTGAGGGAACCTGTCTGGAGTCGCGTCACAGGCCAGCTCGGGGGCGGCGGAGGTGGTGGCGGTGTTGGTGGAGCAGCCGCCACGGCCGGAGCCGGGGCCGGCTGTTCGGAAACAGCAGGCGCCGGTGAAGAACGGGTCGGTGCAGCTGGAGCCGTACGCCACCGGGTGTAAACCCGGAGGGGTGGAGGACCGACCGGCGTAGGCTGAGGCGCGACCGGCGCAGGCTGAGGCGCGGCTGGTGCAAGGATCGGGCCAATCTGGAGGATGGCTGGGTCCTCAGCAAGCTCCTCCAGATGAGCTCGACGACACGGCTGCTCAGCGTCGAGTGGCGACGGAGCGACTGCTGCAGTGCGTATCACCGGTGTGGTTGGACCTGCAAGAAAATCCAGAGAGCTTGGCAGCGCACTGGTGGAGTCAGATCGAAAGGGAAATGTGGTCTCTTCGAAGACAACGTGACGGGAGATGATGATCCGTCTAGTTGTGAGGTCGAGACACCGGTAGCCCTTATGGGAAGAGGGATAACCAAGGAAGACACAAGCGGTGGAGCGGGGGGCCAACTTGTGTTTGGAGGCAGCGGTGAGGTTGGGATAGCATAGACAACCGAAGACACGAAGAATGGCGTAATCTGGTGGCTGCTGGTAGAGTTGCTCATAGGGAACTCTATGGTGAATGGCTGAGCTGGGGCGCCTATTGAGGAGATAGGTGGCTGTGGTGAGCGCCTCGGCCCAGTATTTGGGTGGCATGTGAGCGTGGATGAGGAGGGTGCGGCATATATCGTTCAGAGAACGGATGATGCGTTCAGCCTTGCCGTTTTGAGAGGAGGTGTAAGGGCAAGAGAGTCGGAGGTGAATGCCGCTGGAGGCAAAGAAGGTGGTGAGGGCATTATTGACGAACTCAGTGCCATTATCAGCCTGCATAGCCTTGACAGGAAGGCTGAACTATGTGTGGACGAAGGCGCAAAAGTTAATGATGTGAGTGGCTACCTCAGACTTGCGGACGAGTGGGAACGTCCAACAAAAGTGGGTGAAATCATCTAGGATGACAAGATAGTACTGCGCACCAGAAATGCTAGCGACTGGGGACGTCCAAACATCACAGTGTACAAGCTCAAAAGGGAGAGATGAAAGTGAGCTGGAATTACCAAAAGGCAGCCGCACATGCTTGCCAAGTTGACACGGGTGACATAGAGTATGAGCTGATTTATTACATGAAATGGAATTATTGTGCCTAAGCAAATCTAGAGTGGCAGCTCCTGGATGACCAAGACGATGGTGCCATAGGTCGGTGGAGGTGGCGAGGTTGGCCTGTGGCATGGCGGGGACGGTGTAGAGGCCGTCGGAGCTATTGGAGCGAAGAATCACGCGTCTGGTCTGCAGGTCCTTAACAGAAAAACCAAACGCGTCAAATTCGATAGTGCAATGGTTGTCACGAGTGAATTGGCGAAATGAAAGTAAGTTGCGCACTAGGGAGGGGACAACAAGAACATTGCGAAGAGAGAAAGGGGAGCTGCGGCCAGGTAAAAGGGAGTGACTGAATCAGACACGTGCAATTGATGCCCGTTGCCAACAGTGATGGAAGGAGAGGAGGAGGGATGACGAGATAGAAGTATACCATCCGAGTTGTGCATGTGGGAGGTGGCGCCTGAGTCCATGACCCAAATAGGAGTTCTGAGCGCCATCTGGTTCAAAGCGGCAATTAGGTGGCTGATCCCACATCGGTGGCGGTGGAGGGCAACGAAGTGGGCTGCGGTTGGCACCCATAAGCCCCTAGTGGCGTCCGCCTGGCATTGGGGTCTTGCCGACCATCGCCAGTATGCGAGGCCTATTTGCCACCGCCATTTGGAGGAGGAGCACCGCCACAGGGGCCCCACGGGTGTAGTAAAACCAGGGCGGTTGCCCCGTCTTTGTGACCGCCACCCGCCCTAACTGCCGCCACCCTCCGCCGCCTGTTGCCATTACCCGGTCCTGTCCTCGTTGCCACCACCACGCCGCCGAGAACCCTTCTTGCCGCCTTTGCCCTTCTTGCCTCCCCTGAACCCTTCAAGGGGCACCGGAAGAGTGCTGGGAAGTGGAGGAATGGCACTCGGCGGATGGGCGGCTAGAGCCGGAGGTGGCGACCATAGCGAGGCCGCCGTGGTCTTCTTCGTCGTTGGCGCAGGCGCAATTCCTTGAGGAGAGCATCTCGCGCTACGGAGAAGGAGGGCGACGGGCGGTGGCGTTAGCGATGTCGTCGGCGGTGGCGCTTGAAGCGCCGGATTTAGGCATGGAGGAGACGAGAGGACGAGCTACTTGTCGTCGATGGTTTCGCCGACGCGTCCGGAGGCGCCGCCTTGACCTTGAGCGTCTAGCAAGATTCGTCGATCGTCGAGTCGCCTCGCTTTAGGGAGTGAAAATCCTCAAGCGGGAAGACGGCCGGGCGCGCGGTTGGAGCGAACAGGCTTCGATTTCCACCCACACTTCATGGCGGTCGGTTCTCGTCGGTGATGGCCAAATCAAGAACCGAAGTCGTCGACGGTGTTCGAGGATCCAACCGCGGACAATGGTGCTTTCGGCAATTGGCCACGATGGATCATCGGCAGGGGGAGCAGCAGACTTCGGCGATGTGTGGGAGGAGACCAATTTCCCATATAGAGCCTTGAAGAAGGAAGCCCACTTGGTGAAGTTGGGATGCTTCATCTCCGAGTCACCGGGATGTGAGTCTTCACGTTGACGGCGGTGTGGGGGGGGATGAGCACCGCCACTACGGTCTTGGGGCAGCGCTGGGCCGTCGGCGATGTCGACCATGTCGACCCGGTGGTGTGGCGCACCGACGGGAGAAGGGGGACGGCAAGCGTCGGAGTTCACCACGGGGAAAGGTGGAGAGGAGCGGAAACAGAAGGCCAGGATCTGATTGATCACGTGGTCTGATATACCGTAGAATAGAACAGAGAGATAGGGAAAACACCACACACCCCAATGGGGGGGTGACCTTCATATATATATATAGCCAAGGTGGCAGGATGTACATGCGTGTACATGCTTTACATAGCAGGTGCTAATCACACTGATTGTGTGTTTGCCTATTATATACTTGCCTAATATACACTTGCCTAATATATCTATCACTAGCCACCCCTCAACCGGCCACCCCCGAGCAGGACTGTGACAAATACTAGACATTTTAAGATAAACATAGGTGCATATTATATATTTGAAACAACTAAATACTTTTTAAGCACGAAACAAACCAAATCTAAATGTGGCATATAAGGTATAAAAGTATCAGTGAAAAATAAAAATATCTGAATCTGATTCTACATAATTCCATTTTGAACCCAAGTAAAACAGTAAATAGATCACAAGGTCCTGAAGATTGAAAACATGCCAGCTTTTTTCAGCTTGGAACATGCCAATTAATAGTATCAAGCGTGCTTGACCATTAGCAATTAGCAGCCTCAGTGGCCGAAGCAAGTACTTCATCCCAAAATATAAGATATGGTTTCACTTAAGAGTCTTTAAGATCATAATTTGACCACTAATTTCTCTTATAACATATTATTCATGGAAACAAAGTTTGATTATTAGAAAGTATTATAAATACAAATCCAATGCAGGCCCATCCCTGTAGGTGTGTGTGAGGCATGTGTGACATACAGGTGTGCAGCATGTGTGGGTTGACCGCACAGGCCCCCCAATCTTCTTTGCTATGACCCAATAGCACATCAGGCTTACCCTCTACTCCTTGACCCAATTTCTAGCGCTGCAACATGCAAGCCCAACCGTGCATATGATAGGACTAGTATACCACAGAATAAGTACAAGCTTGTTTATTGTTTGATATATGGTGTATATCCCTACATTTTGTTCTTTTCATCTTTTGTATACATGTGCATCGATTGGTCAAGACGTCTAGTGTTCCAAGATCCAAGCCTTGTCTTTTGCAAATTGGTCTAGAAATTATGAATCAGGTTACCAAAAGCTTTTCTAAATTGAAGTTATTGAAGTCGTACTTGTATTCTAAAATGAATCAACAAAGGATTAATGATTTGCACAATAGCGCTTGAGGGTGACATATTGGAGAAGATTGATTATGAGTATATGATTGAAGAGAATTTCATTTCAAAGAACACCAAAAGAATGCTGTTCAATTAAAGATTATGCAACCAAGGGTTGAATAGGTACAATTCTTGATATATCCCCATTGCAATGTAATACATTTTCATCCATATATTATTATATCGTTCTCTTTTGCTAGCCTGCTAGGCCCCATTTTATACTTCAGCACTGGGCCCCGATTTATGCCAAGACGGCCCTGATACAATGTAACCACTTTTATATCACAAACTTTTCATAATGTTAGACTAATTGTGGGTCAAATATCACTTAGCTTGAATCTTAAAATGTGTGCACGCCATGTATTTTGGATAGAGGGAGTACAACAGAAGAAGTATACAGAATTGTAACAGTAGTCACCTTTTCACTGACATCATGGAACTGCTGGTGGATGTCAAAGACCTGAAACCTGCAAATAAAATTATCAGTTAAAGCAATAAGATAATTAAGAGGCAACACCCACTCTTAACGATTATATAAGATACAACATTGGAGAAGTTTAAAGTATACATTGACAGAATCTTACACCAATGGTTGAAGAACCTCAAACTGGTACTGCGCACTGATTTTGGTCGTCCAAAATGGGTTCAATGAATTTAAAATTACTTCACTACGCCCAATTTCTTCAAGTGCCCCATCTCTCCTTTTGGAATACACAACCACCATGGGATTACTCTGAGGGAAAAGAGAAAGCCATTAGCAAAGGGAGGCAACATAAGAACTCGACAAATATTCAGAGGTAACATGGATGCAGAGAGAAAGGTAGCTGCAGCTATTTTCCTTGAAGCAGTGAGCAAGGAAAGGTGCTAGAGAGGAAACAAAATCTATCAACTCAAAGTGCCAATTCTATGACGTATTTCGAAATTCACTTTCAATAAAGGCCTTGGAAACAACGATGAAATTGGAGCTTGAGAAGGGGTGGGTACATGTGAGGAGGAAGCTATAGAAGGTGGGAGCAGAAAAAGGGAAGACTTTGGTAGTAACTAGTTGTGTGTATGGTAGAACAAGTGAGGAAGTGGGTGTATAGGACATGGCACCCGCCTGTGACTGCAAGTGTGTCAAGCTTAGTGGTGAGAAGAAAGAGAGGGAAGGAAAAAGAGAAAAAGGAAGGGTTTAACTTCTCTCTAGAGTGTGTTTAGAGTCTGTGGATTTGTAAGGGTTCTTCCCCTTTTATCTTAATATAATGATACGCAACACTCCTGCATGTTTGAGAAAAAAAAAGGGAAGGCTAAAAGGTAGAGCTGACAGCTGACTCAGTGTATACTGCTGTGAGATATGACTGGGCAGACACATAGGACAAAACCAGGTGATTCAGGCACAGAATTAATGTGCACTGGCTTTAAGATTTGTGGGATGCAAATTAAATGATAGTAAGAGTCCCAGGGGAACTAAAGTGGATTTCTTCCTTATAGTTTTTATTGTCTTGCTTTAACATTGGGAGCATAAGAATATGCCACAAAATTTGGTGATATAGGTAAAATGGTAAATGGTAAAGTGTCATCTGAAACACGAGCTAGCTTCTCAAGTTTCTATTACAAGTTTAAAAAAAAAGGGGGCGTACCCAGTGCAGAGAGCTCCCGCTCTGTGCGGGGTCTGGGAAAGGGTGTCAGTGGCAAGCCTTACCCTCGCCTGTGCAATGCGAGGAGACCGCGACTCGAACCCGGGACCTTCTGGTCACAGGCGGTAAGACTCTACCGCTTGCACCAGGCCCGCCCTTCTTTCTATTACAAGTTTACTGGGACATAATAAAATGCTAACCAAACAGAATTAAATCGTGCATAGAGTCCTTAAAAATAAATGACTTCACCATAAGAATGTTCTTGCCAGTACCAACCTATACTTATGCAGCATATTAAGGTGCCATTTGGATGATCTGGGATTCTAAAAATCTGGATTATCTAGCATGAAGGTGATTCTGAGATTTTGAAATTTTGTGTGACAAGACTTTGAGAATTTGCCTTAATATCTCCACCATTTGGATGGCGTACAGATTTTTATTATCAGAATCCCAATAACCTATTCAAATGGGGCTATGTTACAGTAGCTGATTAACACTGTGCACTATGAGATAAGGAAGTCTATTGTTTCTGTTATAATTAGCCTGCTACTTCCTTTTTATGCTTTGCATTCTTAGAAATTAATGATAACTGCCAATGTTTTCAAGTCGTCCGATTAATCGCGATTACTCGTCCTAATCGGTCCCTGGTGTTCGATTAGGAGGTCCGACTCGATTAGCTCGACCAGAAAGCTGGTCGTCTGATTAGTCGACGAGAAATCGCGATTAGTCGTCCGACTAGAACAGGGACGACCAGTTTGGTTACTCTGTTTTTGGGCCTGTTTAACTGGGCGGACATGTGGGCTCTTGGCTTCTGAGCTTGGCTCGTTAGGGTTAGAATGTTTAGCAAAAAGGATTGTTAGCCTTTGTTGCTTGTTGCATCCGGATGCGAGCGTAGTTGGAGTGAATTTTCATTGTAAGTGCTAGTGTACTACTACTTTGAGTAATTAAGTATGGTAGTAATATTGATATGTGATTCTCGCATTATATTTTGTGTAGGTCCATACAAAAAAGAGAAACCGATTAGAGCACCAAAGGTTAAATAAGTTTGGTATATGTTAGTTACAACCGCAAGATGGAAAACAGATTTAAAAAAATTAGAGAGCTGGGTTCCAAAGGAAGAGATGCAATCCACTCTTGCTTGATGAATTTCATTGGGAAAATGAATGGGTCAATGAAAATTGTGAACCGCACCCGATTCGGAAGGTGGTGGCGATGCTATGACTTGGGTGTTGTGGATGAGGCTATTGGTGCAACTCGTGGTCTAGAGAGACGTAACTTGCCTAGGGTCTGCTGCTACTCGTCTTTGCTATTGCTTGCCTCGTGAGGCGATACTTATGCTAGGAACAGAAGCGTCCCAAGGAACACAAAGTGACTCAAGATATTGATGAAGTTGATGATGAAAACCAAGATCGACATGTAGATTCAAAGAATAGCAATGGAGGAGGATGAAGAATCTGCACCAACCTGAACCGGAGATGGAGATGGAGGCTTCAATTTTAATGTTGATTTGCTTAATTAGATGGCTAGTTGCCTACTTTTGTTGGACCGTTAAATGTCAATGTTTGTGACTCTGTGTTGAACACTTTAGCTTATGTGTACTTGAACTTGTTTGGTTATGTAATATCCTGGTGGTGGTCGCTATGGTCTCGCTATGTGCTAATCTAAAATGCTAGTTATTTGCTCTCGCAAAGAAGGTCTTTGCTGAGTCATGGTCAAGATCAAGACTACATTAGTGTTGCTAATTATGGTCTTCTTTGGTATTTTAGGCTTCCAAAGACAAGTCAGCAAAGAAATGGAGTTTGGGACAGGAATATGGACCTCTGGACATGGCAGAAAAGAGAAGAAAACAACTCCCACAAGTAAGTCACCAACTAAACACTAATGTAGTCTTGATGCTTGCTTTATTGTGTATACTATATAGTATATATAGGTATATATATAGTAGGTATATATGTCCTAATATATTGGACGACCAGGGGTCGACTACGCTCGACTAATCGGCCTGGTCGACGACTAATCACAATTAGTCTCCTGGTCGGTCCCATGGCGACTAGGTTCGACTGGACGACTTGAAAACATTGATAACTGCTCAATTAAACACTTTAGGCTTTTAAACAAAAAAGATGATTCAACATGCACTAACAAATCCATTCAATAGTGACATGACAGAGCAGTATATATAGATTCCAGTGAAGATGCGAAGCAGAATTTAACACAATAAGTAGTTCTTTTGCTTATCTTTTTGAAGGAGATGCAAGGAAATGAACAATAGCAAGTCACAAATGCAAGAGGTGCAACAAGGAGCATACCTTGGGAAAATATTCTTGATCACCCAAATTTGATGCTGAGAGAGATAACTGCAACATGTTATACTGGCAGAATCAAAATACTACACAACTAAACAAGCCTGATCAATTCAGTAACTAAAACTATACTACTACAGACATAAAATCACATATATGACCACAGTCCTCACATGGAGCAAAATTGGAGTACCAAACCCTTAGGAATCAGTACCACATAACACTAAAACAGCAATATGAAATGCCCAGGTACCCAAATCAAATAATTCCAAATAACTATACCCCAGAACATAGCATTAATGAAGAAGTTGCTACGATCATACTGCTTAATTACAGCTTAAAGCATGCTACTCACAAAATCAGCGAAGAGCCGAAGACTAGATACCCAAAACAGGTTGTAAACAAATCAATAGAGATATCATAAAACATATGACTCAACCATCATAACCATCTTCAATCACAGCTCCATGGCAACACAAAAGCCACTGACCACAATCAGCAGAATTGTTGGAAAAGCACCAAACCAGTGGCCACCATAGTCAAATCAGCCTAGTGCCCAATCATCACAGCATATTTGTCCTCCCTCCCATAATAAGTGCGCTTCTAGCATTCAAATTTTTGCCCCACAATAAATGGACTTAACCACCTAGCACTAGAAGGCTTGGCTATTTTCTCTATTTCAAAAGTGCAACTATTGTATGTTGTGACAACTTTTGACAGGGGTACAAATGTCATTTCGTAAAAATACTAATCTTCAAAGAATCTTAGAAGCACATTTATCGCAGGACGGAGGGAATAACGTAGTATCCACCGACGATACTGAGAATTGCCATCGCTCCAATCACAAACCAAGTAGTCCCCGCTACCCCGGTGTGTCCTCCGCGAACGCCACAAAACCAGAGCACCGATCCGCAAACAAGCAAAGGGACAACACGCGGCGGGACCGAGCCGTCGCCAGCGCCGGGCGCAATGCCGGTGCCCGAGCTGCTGCCTGCTGGCGCCCGCCGCCGCGTACCACTGACCCAACGCTGGAGATAGGTAGAACCTTGAGGATGCTGTTGTGCTCCGTACCTCGATCTGCGTGGACGCGCCGGCGCCACGGGAGCGGAGGAAGCGGTCGGCCGCGGCGGAGGCTGCGGAGGCGGCTTTGGCGGCGGCGGCGGCGCCGACGTGGTGAGCGCCGGCATGGCTCACCTCGTCGGAGCAGCAGTTCCCCATAGCCGGAGGGACCGTCCGCCCGTCAGCCGGTCGCCGGCGAGGCGGGTGAGATCTCAGATATCGGATGGGAGAGAGCGCGTGGGGATGGGAGTTGCCGCAAGTAGCCAGAGCCAGCAAAGAGCAAGTGGAGTCGTAGAGACGACACGGAGACTTGGACCAAACCCACGCAGGAGCACAGTGCGCGCAGAAAGCCAAAGACAGGGTGGGGCCGGCACGGGGAAACGTGGCGGAATTTACGGCTTTGTCCCTGGAACGGCTAGAGTGAGGTTTGACTCTGGCCCGCTGCCCTTGTCTTTTGTTCGACGTAAGAGTAAAAATTAGTTCACTCTAACCTTGCACGATCATGTCATTAGTTTTAAAATTGTACATTTAGATTTGTGAAGTTACTAAGTCGTACCTAAAATTATTGTTATTCACAGTAAAGTACATTTCACATGTAGAGCACACATGTCCCTCTCTCCATCTCCTTGGTACTTATGCCACTTGGTGATGACTGTGGTGCAGCTAGTTGTCGGACGGTTTATCATGAATAACGATAATTTGAACCTAATGCTAAACTTGTCAATACCATTTTGAATGTTATTCCAGTTTGCTCATTGGGATGAAACGTTTTGGTACCAACGACTTCATAATATTGATAAATAGAATAATTATAGTTAACAATAACACAAATAGTACCTAATATGAAGTAGCATTTATACATGACAACTTTAATAAGCCAGTAACGCCGACTATATGATTATGTTAGATGGGCAAAAAAAGGGCAATGCATGTACTCGAGGAATGTGCGGTGGATTGAAGACAATAAGCTAAAGACACTGGCTTCCTTTTTTCATTCAAGGGGGAACTAAGGAAAAGAATCAGAAAACTTCCTATCGTGGCCTTACCCATTGAATGTGGCTCCACACACACCATGCAGGCGTAGGTGTTAGTGGTTCCAAAAAGAGTATGTGATACAATGAAATACGCAAGCATTGGGGTGACGCTATTGATATTGATGGAGTCGCAAAATGCCTCGAATTAACCAGAATTGGTCATAATTGTGCTAGTGCAAGATTCATCTCATGTTGTACCAATCTCTGTGGCGGTACAAGGCATTTTGGTTGTTCTGATTGTGGGCTTCTAGGCCTCTCAGGTAAGTGATTTCGATGGTTAATGACAACTTTGTTTGTGTGACTAACATGTGTGTTTCGGAGGGACCTGTTTTATGTTGGGTCACAAAACATGAAGATGAAAATGTCCTCAGATGATGATGACAAAAAGAAATTAAGGACAAGCTGGCATGTGTGGCTAACGTATGGTTTCGATAATTAAGTGTAACATTAAGCCACGGTACATGAAGGTGAAGACAACATAAGAGTTGATGACAAGACAATCAAGAACTCAAGTTGAAGACGAATATCAATCAAGAGTCAAGCAAAACAGGAGAGGACAAGGGCATAGATCTCAAAAGAGTCAAGTGTTGCCGGTGAGGACTTAGGATTGAAGACCTTTCAAGAGTTAGGCATCGTCAATAAGTATATGAATGTGAGAAGCTCTAATGGGGATGGGGTTCCCGATCTTCCATCAGTTTCAATATAACTATCGATTTGGTGGAGAGGACACACCGATCCGGCTTCAGATCAAAAGATTCAAACCATACAACCTTAGCACCACGTCTTCTCTAGTTATCAACCGTGTCACAATCCGGTTGACCATGCCGAGAAGGCTAATCCCTGCTACGAGTCGAAGAACATAAGCAAGAACAAGATAAAATGCAACTCAAGTAAAGTAACAATTTACAGATTTATGATGTGGGGTTTCACAAATGTTAACGGCGAATGTTCAAAGACAGATTAATCATAAGCAAAAGTCAAACCCTAACGTGGGCAGTGACTACTGATTATATAGTCTAAGGGGCGTCTAAGGACCTCTATTCACATCTCTAAGGAGTCCCGACACGTTACAAGGCCCAAACGGCTCAAAAGATGGCGACGCAGCGTCCTGACAGATTCTGGATGTCAACTTATTTTGACGATTCCCATTGATTTCGAAGGAATGTTGATGTGGGACCAGTTGCATTGGTTAGCTTATCAAATTATATTTCCATCCATATATGGATTGTCAAAAACGGAGTATGTATGCAATCTGGGCGTCCATTTTACTACACGCTGCTCCTGGAGTACGAGATGGACTCGAACTTGACATGGATTGGGCCTTCAACTTGACTTGGACGCCCTTGCCAGCCTCCTAAGGAGGTGGCCAATGAGGAGGGTGTCCTTGGTCATCTTTGAGGTGTTCTCCACATAGTTAGAGCGTGCTCCAACTTGGGCCAGGGTCCCAAGGGTATATAACAAGCCCACGATGATGACGCAGCTCTTGACAGAAATAGCGGCAACTTGTCATGTTGATTTTAATACCTTGCCAATATAGTCTTAAGGTCAAAGGAGTTATGACCTTCCCAATAAAGTATTGTTGGGCCACTGATGAACTGAAAATTCAACTTTGATGAACTTGGACTTTGAGATTGGTCTTGGTCATGGCATGTCCATTATTTATCATCATCACCATTATTCCTAAGCACATTTGAAATACCCATATTAGGTAGCAACCAATTCTTAGTTTTACCATTATGCAAATGTAGGAACGAGCTCACCTTATAATCAATGGTTGTATCCAAAGGTGTTATGTCCTCATCAAGCTGTGTGCATGATGATGCATTCTTGGTAAACAAATGGTCTAGGGAGCTTGGGTATATAGCAAGGAATAAAAAAATCAAATTTCACTTCAACAGAGTTCATATGGAAAAATTAGAAATGAAAGTAGACACCGTGAAAAAAGGAACTCACCCGACAATTGAAAAATCGAGTGTATAATTTTATACTTAAATCATATGGCTCAATTTGAACTGCCACTAGAAAAATATAAAACTACTCTAGCAAAATGTACATTTAGGTTTTTCTAGTGTGCTCTAACTTATCCTTAACCCACAAAGAGTTTTACAACCTTTGAGTCAATCATATTAACTAGCCTAAATCCAATCTAGGAAGGTAAATGTCACACAAGCAAAGTACAAGTGGAAGCTATAAACATGAGAGGTAAAGAGCTAAGGATAGAAAGGGCAAACATCTAGACACATGATGCTATATCTCTTGGTACCGACCACCAAATCTCAACCCCTACTCTATGTACAGTTCCACCGAGGTACGCTCCTAATCACCAAGTCTCTTCTGGTCACGGTGTTAAATTCTCCATACAAGGCCTCTACCAACCAAAGGCTAGTATGTGGGTCACACAGTCTCACTACTATCACACATAGAGATGTCAATGGACCCTGTTCCTCATTTTCCCATGGGGAATTCCTCTATTAGGGACGAGGACGGGACAATTTTACCTCCACGGGGATCTTAACAAGGAGAAATTGCTCCCCTATTGAGGATGGCAGGACGGGGATGGGAAACCATCCCCCATCCTTGTTCCTCACATGGCCCCATGTACATAGCTAGTGTACAGGTCCAAAATGTCAAGAACGTCCCCATTGCCATCCCTAATGACATGGCTCTTCCATTCTCCTTTAGTTGTGTTCACTATAGAGCTTCTCCACATAAGGGGTAGGGTCTCCTCATCCCCCAACAATAATACAGCTTTGTTCCACACAAAGAATGTAGGGTTGTCACCTCGAAGCTCACCACACCTTCATCAGAGGCTCACAACGACTTCAAGCGATCCATATCACCAAGTTACAAGGGCAACACAACCCAATCACTCAAAGCTCTCAAGTTCTAAGGCCTAAACTTCATAAGGATGCACTATAGCGTCTATCCTAACCTGTGATGGGATTTAAATCACTTGAGAGGGTAAATGGATTGTAGATGTCGGATACCATAATAAAGGGTACCCCGAGCAAGAACCGAAAAATTGCTTAGACCTTGTATATAACGAAACCAAAAAACAACCGTAGGCAAACCCGCCACATCCGAGGCCCGGCTGGACTGCCCGGCCCACCTCGAACAAATATCTGGGCTCGCCCGAAGCGGGCTCGGCCTAGAACCAAACCGCAAGACCTCAGACAAGGTTCCAATTCTTCGACTCGCCCGAGGCCCCACACCGCAAGGCCTCGAACGAGGTACCGATTCTCCGATTCACCCGAGGCCTCGTGCCACGAGGCCTCGGCATCAACCCCATCACCGCCGCCTTGACCGATTTCTCTGATAGGATGTCACATCCAACCAACGTGTCCAACCACTCCCGCGATGTCCGCCGCACGTCGGCGCAGTACAGCGGAGTGGCCGATGAGACCGGAGTCACATCGATGCCACGCAGTCCGGGACAGGACAGGGCAGGGGTTACCGACCGCTGTGCTCGGCACTGTGCCCATGGCTGACACCCTTACTGCATTGTGCTGTCTAACCCTTGCTCCAAGGACAGCGCGGCGTGGAGAGTCAAGTCCGGGTCCCTGTAGCCTCGGAGTTGACGAACAAGACCAACTGCTCCCTCCGAGCCTCGGTTATCCGCTTCCGGGCTCCTATAGCCTTGGGACTCATGCCCGCTCGAGCCCCCACGATGGTCCAGCCTCTGCATCGACTGGGCCTCAGCTCTCCATGTTGTCAGCACTCTGGGACCAGCACGTCGCCCGTAGAACGCGCCATACCCTGCGTTGGGCTACAGGAGCTCCCACGTCGCGCACAAGGCCTAGCTCCTGTAGCCTCGGAATCAGCGTACCCACGCCATCGCATCAACCCGACCTTGGCACTCCGTGCTGGTCAAACATACAGTAACCAGCTCACCTCCAACAGAAGAAGGCGCGCCTGCCACCACAGGAGCTCCCATGTCGCACGGGATCAAGCGCGTCGCTCCAGTGCACGGAGGACAAGACCGCTCCACCGACCACGCCGCCACAGTGACAAGCTGCAGGGCTCGGACATGCCGCCCCTGCTGAAGAACGCCATGTAGCAAATACATGTACCACCCCCGGTGCCTCCCTTCAACTATAAAAGGGAGTGACCAGGGCCGCTTCTAAG